TCATTTCATAATGTATAATGTCATTTGTTTACATTAAGGTATGCTTTGAGCAGATATGAGTGTTTGAGAGAAATCATGGTGAATTTGTAGTTTAAAAACAGTAATTTGACCTTCCTAACCAAATCAGAAATTTATTATGATCTACAAACAAGAAATTGTAGAGAGCCATTATCACCAGTATCCTGAAGGGACAGAGAACATAGAAGATTTTACACAACCTAGTCTAGGTGACTATTGTCACTGAGTAGTGAGTTTGATCCTCTGATTGATTTGTTTTTTTGTTTTTTTTTAAGACTTATCAACCTGTTACAAGTTATTTAAAGCCAGAAAATATTTATAGATTGTAAAAATTTTTTTGGAGATAATGATTTACTGAAGAGCAGTGAGTTTGATTCTCACTGGTAGCTCCATACTTGTAACCTTGTGCCAAACTTAACTAAATTTAGTAAATAACAAAACGAACACCTCCATATTGGGTAATGTTATGTGAGCTAATCTAGTTGACCATTACTAGCAAGTAATAAGTTTGATTCTCACAGGGTGCCCCATATCTGTGACCTTATGCTAAACTTAGGTAAATTAAAAAAAAAAAAAAAGTGACTTTGTGTTGAGTAATGGTTAGCAATTTAGTCTAGGTGACTATTATTGTTGAATAGTGAGTTTGATTCTCATTGGGTACTTCACATTGGTGGCTTTGTGTTAAACTAAGCTAAACTTATAACATTTTTTAGGAGTTTCACATCTATTCTCCAAGAATTGCTGTCATGTTTGATTCTGAGTCTATTTAGTCTTGTTTCAAACTTTGGCCCTAATTCTTTTCATGACTGCTTCATTTTTGTCTCTGAATACATAAGTCCATAGCTCTGTTCAGTGCCTTTGTATACAGGTAAAATCTCTAAGAAATTCTGGTTTTATTATCAAGAATAATGCTAAACAATCTGTCATACTTGAACTCCATCTTATCGTATGACATCAAACACATCGACAGCTGGAAGTACTGGTAAATATAAACTATCAAAGAAATGATATAGTTAAAGAGGAAAAGAAGAGTAGATCGGATGCCGGGCAGGAGTAGGGGTGGAGATTTGGATGAATACCCACTAAAAAAAATGTTCTCTTTTCTTTTTTTAAAAAAAAAAAAAAAAAAAAAAAAAAAAAAAATTAGGAAGAAAAGCAGAAAGTTTGTATGATGCTTGACAAGAAGAATCTGTGTTGGATCAAAAAGAATTTAGTCATTTGCAAAACTGCAAAGTTTTGTTTCCATTTAAGATAAATTAGTGTTCGACAAGATACCAGGTGTGAATAAATATCACTAGCCTCTAAACATGAAAAATATACATTTATATACATTCTGTCTGAATTATCATTATTTACATTCAGACTTATATCATCATCTTTGTTGTTATTATCACCTGATTGCCATCTATCTGTATTTCTGGGATGAGGAGTTATCATTATTTACATTCAGACTAATATCCTTATCTTTGTTTTTATTATCACAATGTTTCAGCTGTTGTGCCATGAAAACTTCTTCAGAGGCTTGTTAATCCAAATAACTAAGGAATTTCCAACTGAACAATTTAATTTACAGTAGTAGATTGTTTTCATTCCACTGACAATGTCTCTAGATATCTCATCTTGTTCTTATTTAGTACTGCTCAGTTATTGCTTGCCATGTTTCCATTTTGCCTGAGTCTGTACTACCCAGCCAAGGGATTGAACTTGTAATTATGAACACTTTAATACACTAGGCTATTTTTCCAGGGGACAATGTGGGATAATTAAAAATCATGACAATAAAAATCAAGATCAGCTAAGTTGAAAATTTAGGTTCATCAGTTTTGATGTGCTTCTACAGAAAGATGCTGAGGATACCATGGACTGAACATGTAAGCAACAACAAGGTTTTAGAGAGAATGGAAACAAAAGGAAACGTACTTAATATCAGGAAGAGGTAGTTGAAATTTCTGGGACAGGTAATGAGGAAGTAAAGCTTGGAAAATCTGATACTCACAAGGCAAATTGAGAGAATGATGGACAAATAAAAGCAGCATGTAATATACTTGATAGGCTTGAGCAAATGGATGGCAGAAAAGGGTTTGGGAGAAATAACAAAAAGACAAAACTTATTAAGAGCTACAATGACAGGAAGATGTGGAGAGCTATGATCTGAAGGAACACAACATATAAAAGAAGTTAATGTAAACTGTAAATTTCCTTTCTCAATGTCAGGAATCATCAGACAATGAGATGAGGGAAGAGTGTTTGATGATCATTTAAGTTGTTTAAATGTTCCTTTACATATCCACACTGTTTTATATATATATATATATATATATATATATATATATATATATTATAAAAAACATAGTATGTGTATATATATATATATATATATTATAAAATTTTATATATATATATATATATATATATATAATTTACAAAAAACATAGTAAATATTATATATATATATATATATATATATATATATAGTATTACAAAAACATAGTAAATATATATATATATATATAAAAATATAGTAATTATATATATATATATATATTTAAAAAACATAGTAAGTATATATATATATATATAGTATTATAAAAAAATATATATAATATTCATTAAAACACAATATATATATATATATATATATATATATATATATATATATAATATTGTAAAAATAATATATATATATATATATATAAATGTAAAAACACAATATATATAAATATAATATTATAAAAACAATATATATATATATATTAAAAAACAAATATATATATATATTTATAAAAAATATATATATATATAAATATAATATTAGAAAAAATATATATACATATAAATATAATATTAAAAAACACAATATATATACATATAAAATATAATATTATAAAACACAATATATATACATATAAATATTATAAAAACAATATATATAAATATAAATATATTATAAAAACACAATATATATACATATAAATATAATATTATAAAATGGTATATATATATATATATATATATATATATATAAATATAATAATAAAACACAATATATATATAATATTATAAAATACTATATATATATATATATATATATATATATAATATAATATTATAAAAACACAATATATATATATATTATAATATATATATATATATATATATATATATATATATATATTATAAACACAAACCCTTAAAAAGCCATGAAATGATATTTATTTCATTGAGGTTGGAAAATTGACCCCAACTCTTCAGATCTTGTAATACAGTAATGAAATAGTAATAATGCTTTTTAAGGGTTTGTGTTAAAGAATTTACTTAAATATTTGTATCTATAAAAATAAAATATATTAAAATAATTGTCAGACTTAGTCCATTTCATAATATATATGTATGTATATGTGTGTTAAGTTTTACACTACAGTCACAAAAGTCAGCATATGGCTACTCTATACTTGAGTAAAAAGGGAGTTATTGGTCCAGTCTAGTGTTGAGTCTGCAAGTATCCAGTTGGAATTCGTCCCTCCTTAGCTGGGGGATGGTGTCTTACACTTCTATAGGTAATGCAGTCAGTGTACAATAAGCTCTGACAGGACAGGTAAATGATTGGGTGGAGGTTTAAAGTGTCATCGATTTTGATAGTAGTTCTTGTTTTCTCTGACTTCATCTGGACTTGAACCAAAAATATTCATACATTAAAGTTTATGTTTTTATAGGAATTTGGAGGTATCGGCTTTAAGGGCCTAAGTGCCAAAGACTTATGGCACTGTCCCAGATCTGAAACCACAGCACAAATTTCTGATGCCAACAGCTTGTTGCCACACCCCACCATTAGCTTCCTTCTTTCAGGCACAGAGTCATAATTACCATGCCCTAACTATCCAAATGATAATTTTAGTGAATATATGAAATCAATATTTCAATAGCTGACAAAAATAAAATAAAAAAGAAAATAAATCAATAACAGTCATTGCCTTAGGCTTCACTTATTTTCAACTCTCTTCTTAGGACTTATCTTGCTCATCCACCATAACAACTTAATATGGTGGGCTTTAGTTTGAATTACTGGCTCTGGGAAATCCATGAGAAAATGTATCATGAGAAAAAAAGTAGGGAATAAAAAAAGGAGAAAAAAAAGAGAAAGATAGGCATTGAAAAAAGAAAAGGCAAGAAGATATACAAGCAAGAAATAAAGAGAAGAGAAAAAGAGAGAAATAAAGAGAGAGGGAGAGAGAGAGAGAAAAGAGAGGGGGAGAAAAGGGAGAAAGGGAGAGAGGGGAGAAAAGGAGAAAGGGGGGGAGAAAGGGGAGAAAGGGGGAGAAAGGGAGAAAGGGGGAGAGAGGGGAGAAAGGGGAGAAAGGGGGGAGAGGGGAGAAAGGGGGAGGGAGGGGAGAAAGGGAGAGAGGGGGAGAAAGGGAGAGAGGGGAAAAAAGGGGAGAAAAGGGAGAAAGGGGAGAAAAGGGAGAAAGGGGGAGAAAAGGGAGAGGAGAAGGATAGAGAGAGAGAGAGAGTGAAAGAGGAAAGAGAAAAAGGGGAAGAGAGAGAAAAAGAGAGAAAGAGAGAGAAAGAGAGAAGAAGAGAGAAAGAGAGAAGAAGAGAGAAAGAGAGAAGAAGAGAAAGAGAGAAGAAGAGAAAGAGAGAAGAAGAGAAAGAGAGAAGAAGAGAAAGAGAGAAGAAGAGAAAGAGAGAAGAAGAGAAAGAGAGAAGAAGAGAAAGAGAGAAGAAGAGAAAGAGAGACAAAGAAAGAGAAATAAGCAATGAAAAAGAGGAAGAGAAAAAGAAAAAGAAAAAGCAAAATGTAAAAGAGAAAATGAGGATAAAGCGAAAATCAAGGAATGATGTAAAAAAAAAAAAGATTTAATCAAGAAAGGAGATACAAAAAAATTGAGGAGATTCAGTGAAAGAAATGAAAAATATATGTAAAATAGAACAAAAAGAACAACAAAAAAGAAAAGCAGAAAGTAGAGAAGGATAAAAATGAAGAATCAAAAAGAAAAGAAAATTAAGAAGAGGAAAGAGAGAAAGGAGAAAAGTATGAAAAAGAGGATAAAAAAAAAACTAAGGAATATAAAAAGAGAAAGAAAGGGACAAAAAGAGAGAAGTAGTGAGAAAAGAAAGTTAGGAAATGTCAAAGAAAAAGAAAAGAAAGGGCAGAAAAGAAAAAAAAGAAATGCAAAAATAGAGAAAGAAAGGGGAAAAAAGTAAAGTAAGGAAAGCAAAAAAGAGTGAAAAAAATTAGCCCCCCCCCTACCAGCACAACTAAGAAAAAGGAAAGTCACTCAATTAGTGAGAACCTCTGACAAGATGAAACACCTTTACAAAAGGAAGTAGAAAAGTTACCTAAAAAAAAAAAAAAAAAAAATGACATTAATAATTAGGAAGGCAGAAGAAGAGAAAGTACAAAAATTTCATAGGATAATTTTCTAGAAAGGGAATGCAGAAAAAAAAGATAAGAAAGAAAGACAAGAGCGAGAAAGGTGATGAGGACAAGAAAAAAAGAAAGAAAGACAGACATGGATGACAAAGAAAGACATGGACGACAAAGACATGGACGACAAAGACAATGAACGACAAAGACAATGAACGACAAAGACAATGAACGACAAAGACAATGAACTAGAAAGAAAGACAATGAACGACAAAGACAATGAACGAAAGAAAGACAATGAACGACAAAGACAATGAACGACAAAGACAATGAACGACAAAGACAATGAACGACAAAGACAATGAACGACAAAGACAATGAACGACAAAGACAATGAACGACAAAGACAATGAACGACAAAGACAATGAACGACAAAGACAATGAACGACAAAGACAATGAACGACAAAGACAATGAACGACAAAGACAATGAACGACAAAGAAAGACAATGAACGACAAAGAAAGACAATGAACGACAAAGAAAGACAATGAAACAAAGACAATGAAGAACGACAAAGACAATGAGACACAAAGACAATGAACGTTTTAAAGAAAGACAATCTGCGATAAAGAAAGACAATGAACGATAAAGAAAGACAATGAACGAAAGAAAGACAATGAACGACAATAAAAAGACAATGAACGACAAAGAAAGACAATGAACGAAAAGAAAGACAATGAACGACAAAGAAAGACAATGAAGACAAAAGAAAGACAATGAATAGTTCAAAGAAAGACAATGAACGACAAAGAAAGACAATGAACGACAAAGAAAGACAATGAACGACAAAGAAAGACAATGAACGACAAAGAAAGACAATGAACGACAAAGAAAGACAATGAACGACGAAAGAAAGACAATGAACGAGAAAGAAAGACAATGAACGAGAAAGAAAGACAATGAACGAGAAAGACAATGAACGAGAAAGACAATGAACGAGAAAGACAATGAACGAGAAAGACAATGAACGAGAAAGACAATGAACGAGAAAGACAATGAACGAGAAAGACAATGAACGAGAAAGACAATGAACGAGAAAGACAATGAACGAGAAAGACAATGAACGAGAAAGACAATGAACGAGAAAGAAAAAATTTTAAGCGAGGAAAGCTTAAATTATTAATGTTTTCTTAACCATTTATTTTCCTTCTAATTCCATTTCCTTCCACTTAACATAAAAAAATGTTACATCAGCAAAAAAAAAAAAAAAAAGAAAGAAAAAGAAAAAATTATTAGAAATATATCTGAACTTGCAAACTCTAGAAAACTCTTTTTCCATCAGCTGTTGCCAATTCGCATACCACTGCACTTTTTCCAAAGGTGGAGAGGGGTAATTACAGCAGAGACCACTCAAGACACTGACAAGCAGCTTGTTCAAGTATACAGGTGGACAGAGTGCTGGGTTGGGTTCAAGGGGTCGTGGAAGGTGGGTGGTGTAGACCCATTGATTACTGGGCTGAGTATCTACTCTTCTGGTAAATGCACTATTCTATAAGTCAAATTTGAAGGACAAATGAGGGAGAGAGAAAATCAGATGAGGGGATGGAATATTGTTCAAATGCTGGGACACAACACGAGAGATGATCATGTCTAAACTTCCACTTCACATTTACTGAGATGCTGATAGAGCTGGACAAAGCAACTTAAAATACATCTATAAAAAGAATCAACAGTAATTTACCAACATATTTTATTGAACTAAACTCTCACCATACACACAGACATACACATATATATATATATAATATATCAGCACACATACATCCACAAACATATATATATATATAAATAATATATCAGCACACATACATCCACAAACATATATCAGCACATACATCCACAAACATATATCAGCAACATACATCCACAAACATATAAAAGCACACATACATCCACAAACATATATCAGCACACATACATCCACAAACATATATCAGCACACATACATCCACAAACATATATCAGCACACATACATCCACAAACATATATCAGCACACATACATCCACAAACATATATCAGCACACATACATCCACAAACATATATCAGCACACA